GTAGTAGTAGTAGTAGTAGTAGTAGTAGTTGTAGTAGTAGTAGTAGTAGTAAGGACAGATCCAGAGACACTTCCCAAAATAGTGATAATCTTGTGCCGACTGTTACTCGTAGTGGGAGACACCCTACCTCAAGGGCGCTTCTCGCACGATGTTGTGATCTGTGATCTCGCATTGGGAATGCGTAAGGCCAGGAGCCCCTAGTAGCTTCTTGCTCCCACTAGTAAGGCACTTGTTACTACTAGCTTCTTGTTACTAGTAGCGTGGCACTTGTTACTAGTAGCTACTTTTTCTGTGTGATGCAGCCTGCATTGGAATTCACGAGTTGCGGCATGATGTAGACACTGGAACCCCTACAGTCGACCTGGATGGCCAAACTCCTTCACTGCTTTGCGCGGCTCAGACCTGGATGGTTTCCCGTGGAAATCACCGTTTCATGTCTTGCACTTGTTCGATTTTCAGGTGGAACCACCGACCTGGTGTGAAAGGACAGCAATAATACTGTTCTTGAAAACCCGAAAAGCACCTGGTGCATCTTCCACCCAGTCCCTCCCTCGTCTGGACCCTCACTCCCCAGCTGCCTGAGGAGGATCCGCGCACATGATCTTCGTTCTTGAGTTTCTTCGGGAGCTTGATCTTTTTCACCGGCATCGGGAAAGGCACCCGCTGCGTGCCGAGAAGCAGGATCGGCTTGCATTCATCGGGCACGCTGGAATGCATAACACTGTTGTTGCGGTAATATCGGATGATGCCCTCCAAGCCCTGGTGCCTCTCGCAAAAGCACACCTCACCCACGCTTTCGCTGGGAACCCCCCAGGCTCGAAAACCATGAAAGGTCTGGCAAAAGCGCTTGGCAGAGCTGTGGTCGATGAAATTCACAAATGCGTAGCAAAGGGAGCGCTTCTCTTGAAAGCATAAGGGCACATAGAGGAAGTTGAAGAGGCAATCAAATCCTGCAAGAACAAAGCAGGAGTATCTACCGAGTCACAAGTCACGAGTCCGACGAGTCCCGAATCAATCTCTTCCTGCTCCCCCCAGCACCGACCCAAAAAGCTTTCCCAACCAGCGAGGTAGGTGTGAGATCCTTCTCTTCGAAGGATGTGGAGCATTCTGGCACGAGTGAAGCATTCCGGTAGGTTCTTCAGCATGACCTCAACTCGTAAGCGGCGTCGCGACAGTCCCCGACTAGAAGCGGCTTTCCATCCATGGATCTTGAGAACCATGGATCTGTTTGTCTTCTTGAATATGTTAATGTCTCACCATGTCTTCTGCAATTGTTATGGCAATGTTCCTGATTCTAGAGAAAGGATTACAATAACCCATCTACCAAGCAAGCATCGTTGCATTCCAAGGGGCAGTGGTTTGGTATTCACATGCTGGGCTTTGCGTCCTGCATCCAGCTTGCAAAGCACAACGCAAACTCAAGCTCGTTGAACTGGCGGGGAGTCACGGTTAAATAATGCTTGCTGCAAGAGGATACAAACACACTGAATCTGACTTCTCACCACCAGGGTCATCCGGGGTCTCTCTGCTTGTCCCATCAACATACTTCGACTTCAGCATCTTCAATCTCTGCCTTCTTCTTGGTTGCTTCCTTTGGCATGCACCCAGCAACAAACTCAGTCCTGTCAGTGTCACCTTCAAAATCCTCAAAGCTCTCCCATGCGTTCGGTTCACCTGCCAGCATTGCAGCACTATGGACATGTGGAGGTGGTGCCTTTCAGAAATTCCGTTGACAGACACCACAGGAAGAGGCTTTGCAAAACCAGAAAACCGGCTTTGGTTGCATCCAGATGCGGGCACGTCTCGGAGAAAAAGGGATCCAAGAATGTAGACCGTTGATTCATGAAAAATAGAATTGGAGGGTAAGACATCTGCGATTATGGGGGGTTAGGGGTAGCAAGAATATAACATAAATTCAATAAGTAGATACAATAAACAATCACAATTATATAGTTCTTGGTCTACATCAAGCAAGTTTCACTTCAATGCAAGATAGTCATCTCTTGGGCAACAAACAGCAAATCGGCTCTCGTAGGCCAAATGAGCTGTCCCGCTGCACATCATGGCTTGGGAGCAGCCAAGCTGTCGTTTAAAGCTGTCTTCAAACACAGGAAGAAAGTGAAAAGCCGTCTCTGAGTGGTTCTGCAAGTTGTTCAGGAGGCGTCGTCAACTAGTTGCATAGCCACAAAAACACTTCTTGAGCCAAGAAGTTGCTAGTGTCAAACCAGGCTGCTTCCGCCGAGTCTGAATCCCGCAATGGACAGCCAAGCGGAAACAAGAACACATCTGTCTCTTCAATAGATCTGAAGGCATCAGAATGCGTTTTCGATGTTTGGTGGCTGCTTGTGTTGCTGCTAACATCTCCTGCAACCTGAACCCACGTTCTCTAACGTTTTGTTTACAAACTTAAAATACTCAAAATGTTGGCTTCCCGAAATAATGTGTCCCTGCTCGTCTACTTCCCAAGTCAGCCATCTCTGCAAAATCGTCCCCGGCGGTGTCTTGGCAGCTTTTGTCCGTGGTCCGTGGCGTCACAGGCGCGCTCCTGGCATTCACCACGGCACGAGCCCGGGGCGCGGTAGCGCGGACAGATAGGATGAGACAAAAAGTATATCAATGGAATGTGCGGTGGTGAAAGTCTGTTGTGTTCCTTCATGTTAAAACTTGGGGCGACCCAAAAGAGCTGCGATAGGTCCAAGGACAGGTTGTTTGCAGAAAATTAGAGTACAATTCGAACAACATAAGAGCAAGGACCCATGTAAAGTTTAATATCTTGTTTGTACAGGTTATTGAGAAGCAGCAAGCCAGCAGAATTGAGTAATCTATCTGTGCAAATTACGGTCACTGTAATTCTTACCTCGTGGCTTTCGCATCTCGCCTCGCTGATTCTACTTGTAAGTTCCTCCCTCGTCTCCACAGTTCACAGCAAATAGTTTATGTTTTCTGGTGGCTACTTCTGTCGCTGTCTTGAAGGATGGCAATGCTAAAGTGTTTGTGTTTCCTGAGCAGAGCATGCGCGAGGATTTGAGAAAAAAAACTCTTCAGGACCCCAGTGCGGTGATTTGTCCCGGGTGCCCCTCCACGTAAACTTAAACTTTCAGGTTTGAGAACGTCTGCATAGAGAATCGGTCCCGAAGCCATGCACCAATCTCCAGTTGGGATACTCCTCACAAGTGGAAAAAATACCTTTTTGTGCCCTAAACGTATTGTTTGTTCCATGCAATGCCTAGCCAAAAAGGCCTTCAGTCCGCATGGGAGGAAAATGGTATCTACATGAGAGCCCAACAAACGATTCTTTTCACCAACGTTGTGTGTTCTTTTTTCACTCGCTAGGCCAATGATCGGCTCGTTCCTTCCTTTCCTCCCCGAGAAGGCTACGATGAACAGGGTCAGGTAGCGTTTAAAAAATCCAAGCAGCTGCTTTTGGGATCTGGTCTATGACCTGTCAGCAACACCGAAAAATACTTTCTCCAGCTTGAAAAGTTTGTTCAACCAGCAAAAGGTTCCAACAGAACCCTGTCACTAGAGTCTTGATTACGAAAACCCCACCTCGTCGCCAACCTCGCTAAATACAACAACGCAAACCTCGTCACCTCGTTTGGGGTCGCTCTAATTTGTGCAGATCATAGTTACAAGTGTAATTCGCTGCCACCCACTCAACTCGACCAACAGCTTAATGGTGGACATCTGGCAGCGGGAATACGGCGGACATTTGTGAACATGTGCGGATTTTTTGTGCGACACGTGGCATAACACTTCAGCATGACCAAGCATTGCTGCAAGACAACTCCTCAACAGAAGCACGCAACTAGGAGCGCATTCCTCCAATGCAGCTACTCCTCAATCAGGCCAAGTCTATTCCTCACGGGCCGGCTGGCTATCCGGAGAACGAAATATTCAAAGAGGCGGCTTAATTGATTGAGTAACTCCAAACCTTTGAAGAGATCCTGTGTTGAAGCCCTATCCCATTTTTCCATGGGGCCGCTGGTTCCTTTGAGTGCAGGACTTTCGAGCTTGGCTCCCCTTGGAACCGGTGTGGTGTGGCGTTTTCATCCGTGAGACGAGAACGTTCATGACCGTTCCGGGCGCCGAAAGATGTTTTTCTTTCATCTCTGCGGATGATTCCGGTGGTCTCGCTGTTCTTGGCCAGAGCGGCCATAAAGCAAACTTTTAGTGCAATCCCGTCCGTGTGGAACCGCTCAATCCAGTCCTAGCACACCAGCTAATGGGAGGGTGTTCGCACAAACATGCCAGTGGCATGCTAATTCAGCGACTCAGCTTTGTGCTACAAAAGACCCTGAAAACACCTCGCGGTGTTCCGCAAGTAGAGCTGGAAGATGGTGCCGTCTCAAAGAGGACGATTGCATTGGCACAGATTGTGAAGAGAAGCGAAAGGCAGCGCTATCGACGAAGACAACAAGCTGGATGACCTGTTAACAAAGTTAACAATTATAACTTATAACAGGTCATGTTTTGTTTGTTGGTTTTGTTGGTTAACAAGCTGGATGACCTGTTATTGAAGACACAAAACCAACAAACAGCACAAACAGCAGATCTTGAACAAGTTCGTTCCTCGCCATTCGATGCATGTCCATCCCCACAGACCTTCGACTGGCCCGCGTCGACTGGCCCGATGCGCCAACGTTGCTCCGCCCACCTTCAGAACGTCTTTGGGGGGAAAGCAAGGCACATGTGCAAAAACGGGAAAACACCTGACCAAAGCTCTTCTCCTTGCACATGATCACGATTCCTCCGGGTGTGGGCATATGTTGGTTCAACGGCTCAGGCTATACTGTGCCCCGGGCCAGAGATCCATACCGTTTTGTAAGTCTGTTTGTGGCGTTGGCGACGAACGCAGATGTTGCGTAATGCTTTTTCGTTCTTCGATTTTTTGCTCCCTCAAATGGCCTCATCATGCCTCATGGTAATGAGCTTGCTAAGAAAGGAATCACCTGGCTGGAGTTAGCCCTGGCGTTGATCGTCACGGGAGTCCAGTTTCGGACATGGAAGCTTGATGCCAAGATATGCCAATCAAAAGGCTCAACCAGTTTTGTACCAGGAACTTGCGGCGCCCAAGAAGTTGCGCACAAAAATCAGCCAAACCAATCCAATGCCTTAAAGAATCCTGGTTCAATGATTTGAAAGCCTAGGCTTTGTCCTCATCGCCTGCTAAAGTCCCACCCGAAAAGGCATATAGAAAAAAAAATCAATTCGCAAAGAAAAAGGAACATAAAACAATCCCTGTGATGGAACTCTCGTTGATGCAAAAAAACAAAAGACACCACGAGGAAAAAAACGACAAATCATTGCCACACCCCGATGGCCTGGTTCCAATGCCCATGCGACCATGCGAGCTGTGCAGATGTTCGTTCGCTCAACAAATCAACGGGCGTCGACTTGCCATTTGATCAATGCTTTGCCTTTCGCCGTGAGTCGTTTGCCTCGCATCTATAATTATAAATCAAAAGACATCGTTGAATGCTATGCCCAGTCGCGAGCTGTGTCGATTTAGAAGCTTGAAAACACTGGGTCATGAAAGTCTTACACCGGTGCTGCTTCTGTTCTTCGTGCATCCTTCACCTTCCTTGTTCGCGAACTCACTGTGATGTGGTGCGTGTGATGTGTCGTACGGTCGTGGGTGACTTCGGGCCATCCGCACCTCGTCCACAGGCCCAAGAGCGCCTGGGCCGTGGCGCACGGGGCCAACGCGCACGGGCGCACGGACCTCCGACCGGGGGGAGTGAGAAACGTGTTTGTCCCGTCCACCAACGTGTTTGTCTGGGAGGAACCCTACGCTGCAGACTGTTGCTCAACATGGGAATACGAGTTACGCGAGAACCAGGTCACCTGAACCTGGGGTTCTTCCCGTGCAAGCCTTGAGATCTGAAAGAAGTTGAAGTCTGAAACAACATGTAAAGAAAAGCTTGAGTGATCCAATCCGTGCGGGTTCAAGTTGATCCCCAACCAGGTGGTTTTTGATCGCCGTGTTCTCAGGCGCGATGTTCATCGTCCGGTGCGGGCCTCGGGAACCCTCGTGACCAGCAGCAGGGGCATGGCCAGAAGAAAGGAGCCAAAAAGCACCACCTCAGCAGGTGGGAAGAAACCGAGAAGCTGTGTGGACACGAAAAATGAAGATTTTGAGGGGAAGCTTCTCCAAACTGCCTGTGGTGATGGTGACCATGAGTCCTCTTCTTTTGGTGATTGGGATAGGCTTGTGTGGACAAAGCTGCCTTTAACTCTGGATCAAACCTCTCAGAGGGCTGAAGTCTGAGCATGTTCTTCATTGTGTTGACTAGGTGATTTCACCGTCTCCTCCGCGACTGACCGTTGGTGAGAACTGTTAGGCACTTCTTGCTGTGAGAACTCCCAATGGCTCGGCAGGAGTTGTTTTGCATTTCGATGGTCGTGGCATTCGAGAAATGCTTTCAGCCCTGAAGGAGTCTCACTGCACAGAACAAGAACGTGTTTTTGTAATGAAGGCCGCTTGACATGTACACAAAGCTGATTCAAAGCTGACTAGTTAGACTAGTTCGAACGAATGTTGTCCCAGAATGGATCCTGGCACCCTCGCCATCCTGAATGGCATCTCAGTGATATTGCTGGGCAAGTGGGTGGTGTTGGATGACGAGCCATCTGGGTAGGAGAGCGATACAAACTGAACCTGGCATTGATACAAGGGGTTGACCAATTCTCTTGTGCGTGGCATTTCAGGGTCTTGTTAGCTGGTGTTTGTGCCACCTGGAGGGTCTCTTGGAGCTGACCAAGCTGTGCGTACAGCTCAAAGAATGCTATTCAGAACAAAGCCCACCTAACAAGTCTTGATCATGGATACTAACTTATCAATGGAAGATCCCACTCCACTGCTGTTTCTGGCCCTCCACATCCTGAGGCTGCTGACTACCACATCCATCCTCGGCAACGCTGCGTTGAATGGTGGGAGTCTGCGAAAGTATGTCAGTGAGCACCTCCCTGGAGAGCCTTCGGGTCGTCACAAGTTTGAGCCACCTGACCGCTGTCAGAGCAGAATCCAACACGATGTTGAGGAAAGCTAGCGCAACTATGCCACAGGCTCTACCAGAACACCCAGAAGACCCAGTAGTGGCACCCAAGCTCAAAGGGTTCGAGTTAGAGACATCAAAGACTGGGGGAGGGACAGGTCCTCGAGAGTAAATGGAGGAGACCTTCTTCCTGGAACCACTGGACTGCTGGGGTGGCCTGCACCCATCTGGAACCTCTTTGCCCCAGAACAGGCTCAAAGAATCAGAGGCCCTGACACGAAGCTTTGCCAGGAGAAGTCGGTCAGTTGAGGTCGTAGGTAACCTCAGCCGTGACGTGGAAACCTCAGATGTGCGAAACCGTCCCACCACTAGAGCTACAAACAAAATGTATTTCAGTTAGTTCCGGGTGGCCTGTGAATCCTTGTTTCAGAAGGTGGTCAAACTCCTGAATCAATCGCTCAAACGCAATGCCAAAACACGCATTGGAACGATAAGAAAAGGTTCCGCTTTGCGGCTTCCATCCGTTTCTAGCAATGCCCTGCACAAGAGATGGAGATACAGAGAAGCCTCTGACAGAAAGAGATTATATACCTGAAGAAAACGGTCTGACCCAAATCTGTCACCTTGCGTCACACAGCCTCCCAGGCAAAATGCCGGCAACGAAAGAGGAGAGCTGGTGGAATGGATATTGGTACCAAGAGCCGCAGCACATCTGGCACCAAAAAAGACATTCACCATGTTTCCGGATGGGAGGCACCAACTCAAAGTCCCTTTGTCCCACTGCATCCAAGCGGCCAAAGAGCACCTCAATAACCTCAGGTCAAAATCTGGCCAGCAGGCTCACCAGGGGGAGGAGGTGCTGATTGATATCAGATCTGCAAGCATCTGAGAATCCTGATGTCGTGGATGTGCAATCTGATGAAAACTGCAATTCCTTCACAACTTGCCAAGCGGTGCAAATTGCCTGTCTCTTTACACTTGGCACTGTCTAAACCGCTCAAAAGGCGATTCCTGTGGCGTTTGGCCCCAAATGCACGCCCTTCTTTCCCGCCTCAGTTAGAAGGGCTGCTTCCAGAGGCGGCCTGAGGCCCTGACCCGCATGTGGACCACACAAACCCCAAAGCAAAGCCTGTCGGCCTTCCAGAGCCTCAGGTGACGAAAGCGGTGCCTTGTGACGAAAGCGGCACCGCATGGTGGAGACGTGTGACGCATGAGTGAGGCCGGCGCACAGAAACCGCCCACGACGTATGAGTCTCCGACTTGGTGGGCCAAGTCGGAATTCAAAGAAATGGAAAGCTCAAGTCTCGAGTTGTACAGCCGTCTGTTTGCAGCGGGGCTGTTGCAGCAGGGCGGTTGACTGTAACTAATCCCATGTGTCGGTCACAACCGAGACACTGACCTTCCTTGACCGAACATACCGGTTATCCACCGTTATGGGGCTCCAAAGGAGGCCACGGTTGCTTGGACTTCATATGTATTGGCCATGGAGCTTGTACCGCCTGGAACGTTCTCAGGCACCTCCAAGCGGCGGTGTTTTGTTGGCATTTTTGTTGCCCTCCGGACACTGGGGGTGCCGACAAATGACACCTGACCGCCGCACTTGTGTACTTGCATGCAAAAGAAAGCATGTGGAGCCTACCAGGCATACGGATGCAAGCCACCCATTCATTCTGTGGTTGCAGCGAGATGCCACGTTGAACAACCAACAAATCCAACATTTCCCTGTATGATGTACGGTGAAAGCCTCTTCGTTACCGCACAATGGGTTGTCCCCGTCGGTTGTACATCTTACCCCTGCAATAGTCTCTCCTGCTGCCAAGCGGAGAGTCCCGAGATAAAGGAAACCGACGGTGAGAAGCCCTCAAACGGATGGCTTCCCCTGCATCTCAACAGCCAAGTGACCAAGGAGAAACAGGCACTTGTTTTTGCTGAGCTTCTTGTGAGCTCTCGCCTGCTGGCGAAGCTAAAAGAGGAAAGGGTTGATTGATTGCAAAAATATGCAAAAGTACATGGATCAGAATAGTTGGGGCCTGATGGGATGAGCTTACTGAGTTCGACCCAAAAATGGATCTGAAAGAAGAGCTCCTGGGGCGTGCTGGGACGCCCCCAATTCCTTCTCACCAACGGAAGCGTGGAAGGGCCATCCATGGAAGCTCAGCGTCATCGTCTCCAATCTTGACATATGTTGGCAAGCAACGGGCCAGGCACATAGGGCAAAATAGGTCATGACTCATTCCACATGTCTATTCAGTTCAGGACCAAGCTTTCAGCCTCTTTCATCTTCGAACCGAGCTAGTCTTCGATCAACGCCACACCGTTCTGAATTCGATCTCACAGTGTATCGCAGCTAACATCAACTCATCAACCTGCAAGGAGATCACCCAACCCCCCACAATTCGCCCATCTCCGCCTGTGTCACCAGTGAGCTGGGCCACTGACAAACCAAGCCTTGGGCGTGATCCGTGCTAGAAGAAGTGGCACGAAAAGAGTTGGGATTTAGCTGTTTCATGCTGTTTCGTCAGTTCGTCGGTCCATTTTGGATCAAACATGATCAGTAGGACCTACTGCAGGAAGAAATCCAGAAAACATGAAAACACCCAACAAGAATCGAACAAAGCCCACCGATTTCTGTTCGTTGCTTCGACCAGATCCCGGCAGTTCAACGCTGCACACAACTGGCCTCAAGCAAACCTCTCCTAATCCAACAAGGGACCACAAATTCTTGACACCGAAGGCTGATGAGTCGTCAACCAAAACCAAAAACCTCCAACCTTTGGTCAGAATTCGCCGGAAAAAGTTCCAGTATCCACCGAGTCCACTGCTTCCAGGATTACTGATCTCCCTCAAGTGTGAACTCAGATTTCAAGCGCATAGACAACGCATAGATTAGATACGCAAATGAACTCTCTGGAACCCGCCGAAGAGAAGCCCACGCTCAGCCCAAGAAGCAGCACACGGCTGCAACAATACCACAAAGGCCCGACCTCGTTCTGTGCATCCACGGGAAGAATTGTGGAGGAACCGAAGGAATCCTTGTCAGTAGGATTGATCTCCAATCAGACTACGGATTTCATGCTGGAGTTATAAAGAAGAATCAGAAGAAATGGGAATGCTGCGCAAGTGGGGAATGATTCGGAATGATTCTGATCGAAGGAGTTTAACATGCTTGGAGGCGAGAGCATGTGAGGTGCTCAACAGGACGACTTCCCATTCCACTCTCTCTCCTCTCTGTACCCTTCTCTCAAAGCTCCGGGTCACCTTGGCCGTTAAACCTCTTAGTGATGACTCGAACACAAACATATCGTCGTTTAACCAGGGCGATGCCAAATACCAACATGTCAGCCACCAGCTCACACATACGGGTTCTTTCAGCATCCAATGCGACTCGACTTGCACCATTGGCGATCGGACACCTTGCCATGGGCAGCCCATGACCTCAAAGAACAAGGCTGGAGAAAAAAAAAAAAGACAACAACCATGCTCTGCTCGAAAAAAACAGTCGACCCGATCTCCTTTTCGGTTACACATTCACACACGCAGCAAACGCCTGTGATCAAGCAGCCACCTGCCACCCCACCGGAGTAGAGCCGGACCTCCATGGCCACCGCCGCCAGAAACGATGGAAGGGCCTTCGATTACTGGATCTCGTCTGCTCTTGTCACATCGAACTCTGCTGTGAAAGCATCGAACGTTGCATCCCGCAAAAAGAGACCGACTCCACAGAACAAATAACAGAAAAAGCATATCTGAATAGATCTGAATAGAACAATCAATCAATCAAGCAATCAAGCAATCAATCAATCAACCAATCAATCAATCAATTGCCGACCCAAGGTCGCCGCAAGCATCTTGGGCCACTTGGACCTCGAAACAAGGGCGCTTTGGGGCCAGCTGTGAAGCGGAGTTTTTTAGCGGAAAAACGACCGTCAAGGGGAGTCCTTCGGAGTAGGCAGCGTAGGTCATAGGTTCCACCCCCACTGAACAGACCAAACCTGGAAAACGACTTCAGATAGGTGGATCCTTTTGTAAGGTGGACAGCTTGACATGTGCTTCCAGGTAGAGGATGTGTTTGACAAAGGATAGTTTGGAAATAGACACCGGGAAAAACCGGGAACTAATTCAATTGGCCAACAGGACACCTCCAACTATACAGCTTCAACCTCTACCAGCTCTTGTTTCACAGTACTGGCATCTTTTGACCCGAATAGCGCCAAATCACTTCGAATGCGCTGGTCCGCCGTCCACGGCTTCGAATCCCGAAGTGTCACACGGGAGGTCAAGGGCCTTTGTGCCACCCCAAAGTGGTTTTCCAGGGAGACTCGTCATGCGGGAAGATTCGCCAAGCTCAAGCTCATCATCCGTCCTTTCGCGAAGCATCCGTCTGTTCACCTTCCCTTGGTGTTGAGCTCTTCACACGACGCCGCTGGTCAGTTTGGTCACGTGAGGACCGGTCAACGGTTTCACCCTACGAAGCCGATCTCGGTGGGGACTGCACAAGGGACTGCACCCGATCCGAAATGCGATGGTGAAAGATCTTGGTCTCCATTCTCAACGGAAGTACAGCTTCTAGGCCGAAAGAAAAACGACCAAGCATACCAGGGAACCAGCCTCACAAGCTTTTGAACTCTTGACCCTCGAATGTGGTGGACTCCCTCCACTCCTGACCCTCGCTCCTTCCCAACTGCTGGAAACACCTCACCGGCCCCACCAGCCTCGTGAGGTGCCAGAGCAGGACAGCCAAAGCCACGACCTCGGATCCAACGAAAGCCAAGCTGACCTGGACGTCAATCCCAAAATTGGTTTAAGGGAAAATCTACAGGAAAACCACAGTTTTGGGGGTGAAAACCCTTCTGACACAACCGCAAATGTTCCCTTAAACCAATTCAGCGATACAAGCTGTCTTCCAGCCTTGACATTCATAACTCAAGGCCTCTGGGCCCGATCTTGAAATCTCTTGTATTCAGCCAAAATTCAGTTCAAGTCCGTTGTGACACAACCGCATCCATGAAAGTTGGCCCCAGGTGCAAGTGCAAGCTGTTCAGCCTAAAATGAGGCAGGGCTGAAAGGTTGAGATTGCTTCATCCAAAGCCTATGACAAGAGGTGCAACCCTATTGGTCTCACACAGATCCCATGCCATTGTTTCTTTGCATAGATTCAGGGTGTTCTTGGCTCCAGGCATTGTCTCCAGGCCTTGTGCAGGTCAGAATCATGGAGCATCCAATGCCGATGTCACAAGCCGATGTCCACGTCACCGAGCCACACGTCCGGTCTCCGACGAAGCGGCCCGGTCCCTGACTCCAAGACGAAGCGGCAAATCCAGGTACGCAGTGAAAGGCGAGGGCACCTGGAGCTCGGGCGAGAAGACAGAGCTTGATAGAGAAAGGATGTATCTGATCCAAGAAACCAAAGGAGAGTGCCATTTCTGGTGTGTCTCCAAGTACCCAACCCTGAAACCACTGGCAAAGGCAAAGGCCGGATCACATCACCAATGCATAAGCTTAGGGACTCCCATGTCAAAACAAACACAATTGGACCTACCCACACATGGTCAACCAACCACCCGCAATACTCATTGCGGCATCACATGGCATCCCCTTATATCTTTTCTCCTCTAACCTGGTATATAACCACTGCTTGGCCTACTACATTGTTACATCACCCAGTCCGGACATGATCCGGGCAAAAGTGAAGCCGAGTGACAAGGACCGCCACCAGGGTATATACCCACATCCGGGCCTCCCACTGAAGTATTTCTCGTGAAACCAAGTGATGAAACATCATGAAACCATGATGACTAGTAGTTGCAAGTACTATAGTGACTATATCATAACTCATAACTGACACGTCGTTGTGATGTGAGTACCGTGTCTTTTTTGTCCCAACAAATGAGCTTCTTGCAAATGCCCCCACCAATAAGGTGAAGCCTGTTGGATATTTGGGGGCAACAAACAAATAATGAACATAAACACTCCACGAACTCACCCAAAACTCTCACTGGCCCCACCCGCACCAGGCTTCGGCCGCTCGAACTACCGAGGACCGCGCACAGGGCCCATGGACTCGGCCGTCTAGCACGCAGGTGGACAGGGATCTGATCGGACGAGGCCGGGGAGGAAAAGCTCCGGACTCGGCTTCACGATGCCCTGACCGCGGAGCCGCGACGTAGCATCCTCCCAGTTCAGGATGTGTTTGAAGAACATGCGTTCTGAATCTCTGAAAGCAGATCAACTGTTGGATATGGGTGAAACAGGGGCAGTTCTTGATAGTTGAATATCCATGAGCTGAGTAAGTGGCCATTGAAAACATCTGTCCGGCTTGCTCTTGGGCCAAAACCGGTTCACTCTTGACATTGAAGGCTCAAATCTCTTGTGTATATAAACAATTGGACACACATTTCAACTTGGATGCAAAAGCAGTGATTCTCCAGAGCAGGCTCACCGAAGCGGCCTTCCCAAGGGCCAGCAGAACCAGGCCAGGCCAAGTAGGGCCTGAGAGTCTCCGATCCCAGTGGAGCAGATGCGAGGAAAAAGACACCCCCTCTCCTCCGACACTGACGGGGATCTAAAGGGGCTTGGTTTGGCCACTTATTTGATTTGTCATGTGGGCTTGGCTGCCCAGAAGGCGGCACAAATCACCGAAGTGGTCCGATTTCGAACACTTGAAACCTGCATGACCATCGATATGAAGGACGAGACAAGTCTGTCCCAAAATGTCCCAGAATCCCTCTTCCTTTCGCACGCTTGGGCGGGCGTCCGCGCTAAGAATCGAAACAACCTCAGATCTCCCTCCAAGCCTCGGTCGCTTTGCCGCGCGGATCGTCCCCGTGGACAGCGACCGCGGAAGGGACGAACACCATCGGGACAGACAGACCCGGTGGAGGACGGTGGAGGACGGTGAGCGATCCGTCTTGAAGCATGTAGCGATCAGGAACGAAAGAGACGGAGTTCAAGAACCGGCCTCAACTCTGGTATTCCTGGATGGCTGCCAGATGCCTTGAAAAAAGCGTTGCTGCTTTTCAGAGGATGGAGCCCCCAAAACAGATTCTTCATAAACCCCAACACAGGAGGCCCCTGGAGCTCCCGACAGCAGGCCACGAGAATGAGCAACGCTGAGCGGACCATGTCCTTCCGCGGGAGTTGAGCTGCTGCCCAAATCGAGTGGTCTCAAAACAAAAAAACAAAAAGGTCGACCGAGGCAGAAAGGGCCCAGAACAGGCCATGTTGAATGGATGAAATATGATGGAATGCATTTGATATCTACGGTAGACCACACTAGAAGAAGAGACGACACAGTTTCATCTCCCTGGTTTCTTAGAGGAAGTGAACATTCACCGGGAACAAGTCCTTCTGTCGCTTTGACAAACCCTTCCATGGCCTGCTCAACAAAGTTCCCTGCGTAGTCCAATGGTGGGAATGCCTCTGTCTGGTGAGACAGCTTGGCTCAGGACTCCAAACAAACCCTAAGAGGTTCAGACTTGAGTTTGCTCTTGCTCTAGCTTTGTGCAAAAGTGCACATCCATCCAAAAACATCGCTGCAGTCCGATTGCTATGATGTCCTTTTCGATCAAAAACTGATGAAAGCATCTCTCTCTGGCTCCCAATCCATATTCCCACAAGTCAGCCAGACAAAAACTGCAAAAATACACCTGCTTCTTTTTGTATATATATATATATGTAATTCAAGCAACCGCACTACTTGTGCAGAAAACAATGCCCGTGGGTTTGTCTTGCATCATCTCATATCTGTCCGCAACTGGGTGCCACACGAGTAGATGGTCCGCTAGTCCCCAGAGTGGAGTGCAGCTATGATGAGTGCCTAAGGAATTCATCTTTCATGATTCGGGTGACTAAGGGCTTTGGGTCAGTTCCGTCCAACCATCCATCTCTGGTCTTCACGGTCCGTCCTGGGCCTTCACCGAAGAGTCGACCGTCGACCTGGCCCCCGACCTGGACCTGGCCCCCGATGTGGTGGGTCTTGGTCGATCCTCGCCTTCACAAAGACCACATGCGGGGGAGTTGAACCACCAAGCCACCGCACCACATCACCGCACCACATCTTTCTCCAAAAGCGGACAGACTGGTTCCACGGAAGCTGGGGTCTCCAGCAACGGAGTGCCTGGTATGGCGAACATCGGAGGTGAAATGATCTCTTTTCTGGACATGGGCAAGAGGAGGAATCACCACTCCTTCACATGGACAGCCCAAATTTCCGCAAGCATCGATTTTCTTTTTGTTCCCTTCTGCTAAGGGTCGAAGTGGCTGTGCCCCCGACACCCAAATGTCCGTGAGTGCCACCTAGCAGCCGGCACACTGATAGAAATGGTGTCTCCTCTGACCGCAGACCGAAGAAACCAAGTTCTCTTCGTGGATGTTCGATGCGCCCGTCGCTGAAAAAGAAGGCTTCCGTCGACTCGGCTGGCGACCCTTGGGACCTCTTCATGACATAGTTTCGACTTCGGTGGTTGCACCTTGAGCCTCAGCATGGGAGCGCAAAAGCCGGGAAGGTCAGGGTCGGAGGTGAGCCCTGAGGTGAGCTCTGAGAGAGCATGGTTCAGTTCATAAAGACTACCCAATTCATCCATCTTCTATCCAAACTTGACAGCCCTGATCGAAAGTGTTGAACATCTGTTCGATCTCTATCTGGGGTCTCAAATAACAACAGGGCAAACGACCACGTGGAAAACAGATCCACTCTGAGAAACACCCTGTAAAAACCTTACGCCTTCACCCTCCACACAGACCGCACACCCCACCACTGGGCTGACTGAGATAAGCGCAAGAAGGGCACGGTAGGGTAACTGCGGAGCAGTTACCGTGGCCCATGGATGTTTCCTTGATTTGTTTCGGGTTTGGGTCGTCATCCCATTCATAATCAGTCATACCACTGAAACTATTGGACGAATCATGTCGAGGGAATCGAAAGGTGGACATGGTGACCCTGTTAGATGAGCTGCAAGACATGCTTGTTATTTCTACCAATTACCAAAGGTAAGAAAAAAAGGCAAGGTCGCAGGGTTTCAGGTATTCTTCGGGTCGAAATTGAAGGACGTCAACACCTGTCTGAGAACAAACTATGTCTCTTCATTGTAGGACGTCCTTGGAATGTGCTAGGAAGACTGACTTCGAAGCAATCCAGAGAGAGAGCACCGTCATGGCCACCAGAGTGAGTGGAACAAAGATCTGAAAGTCAACATCATCAACCAGTGGTCGGTGTTCCGGACTTTCCTGCCGGGGCCGTCAATCGAAACTGTTCGTGAACGTCCCTCTGCCGACGACCGCCAACGACCAGCCTCGCAAGGCCATAGCAAAGAATAGATCGAGCAGCCAATCCTGGCAGTGTGGCTTCAGTCTTGCTCTTAGTCCGAGCTTCGAACGTAGAAATTGCAATGGCGCGCGCGTGTGGGAGAGCGCTGGGTCTGACACCCAGTAGCTCATCAATGACCATATCGCATAGCCATCACCTGCTCATTCACTCCGCGAAGCCACCGGTTCTTCAGCCGGCTCGAGCCATTCCATGGAACGCTTTCGGTGGCGGCGTCCGTGGGCACGGGCTTGGCACCACTTGGCACGTCAGGTTTGGCAGGTCAGGCGACCACTAGGGCGGTCCTCCCAGATTTTGCTTCAAATAGGTTTGGTCGGAAAGACCAGTCTTCCCTTTTCCTGACTCCCCCATTGGACCACGTCCCACGTCTCCGATTGGACGTCCCGAAACCGCCGTCCCCCACCGCCTGGTAGGAGTTGCCGCGCCCACTTCCGCAGAAGCCTGGAGAGCCCGAAGCGGAGGTGTCCATCTGTTCCGGTGAAACCTGGTGACTGACTTGGTGCCCAAGATGTTGGAGCCCAAAAAAAGCATACCCGGTGATGCAAGACTTGGCTTGAGTGCCATGGTGTGCAGAGGTGAGTGTGCCATTTAAACCATATCTAGACCCATCTTCAGGTGATCAGAACCAAGGATAGACGACACAATTCCAACAACAATGATAGTGCTGCTTGTAGATGCACTTCGCCTCTGCGTAGACCCGGCAAAGGTTTGAACACATTATTTGAATCGAAAGCGGTAATGGTTCCAGCATGACCTAGCTAGAGTATTCTTTCTCACTAAGCTCCCAAAAAGTGTAATTGCTGCTTGGAAGTCATGCAAACATTTCTGTAAAATTCTCCTCCCCCCAGCCAGTCTCGAAAGGAGAAAAGAGGACGTTTGATGGTCTTCCTAGTCTTTCTTAGGTCCTTCTTTGTTCATTTTCCAGGGAAAACCCGAGGGAGGATAAGTTGCAGTACGGAAGAACCCCGAAGAAGCCGACGAGTGCGCCAGGCCGCTCGCGCGCACGCGCGGTACCTGCCCGGCAAGAGGTACACGTTCCAGCAGTGCGGCCTCTGGGCGGCTGGGCGGCCACACGGGATGAAGTGGGTTGCATTTGGAAGAGAGAGAGAGAGAGAGACGCCCTCATACGAGCTCAAAGACCCTTTGGGCGGGGTTTTCTGCAGCTTCTCCCCATTCCAATAGACATCCAAAGACCTTGGGTGTTCTTGCCACTAGCCACAAACCATAAAAGACCTTCATGGCACTTCCTTGGCCTCTTGCAAATTAGATCGTGGTAAGAGAGCTTGTTGACCACTTAGGCCTGGGATGTCCCCCAGCATACTGACTGGAGATCAATGAACCTGCATGGATTGAGTCATGTGAAAAGGGACGCTGGTGATGTGCTCCCGTGTGACGCAGGAGCTCACCAATAGCATGGGAACCTTTGATTGGGTTGGAGGCCATCGCTCTTAGGTTGGAGGCCATCGCTAGTAGGTTGGAGGCCACCGCTACTAGGTTCACTGGAACCTTTGACCTGGCCCTTCGCTGCCCGGCCCAGGACTCCCCTCCCGCTGCCGAGGTACCCTCCACGCAACAACAGCGAGGCCTGGTGGGAACGATCCATCGGAGTCCCGGTGTCCGGTGTGGCATCACTTGGCGCTCTTTGTGACGCAAAGAAGAAAACACACCAGTCCTCGCAGGGTTTAAAACGTGTTGCATGAAATTTGCATCAAATGAGGATAGGGGCCTTTTTTGATTCCGTGGTGAAGGCGCGCCTTTGGTCCAAAACTCTGTTTTTGGAGGCTCCTGACTACTTGGGCAGGAATGGAATATGTATATATATATAATGCATAATTATGACAAAATGATGCTGTTCACTATAGCAAATCATAGCGAATTGGTGCAGCATTTCATGCCCAGGATCTACGTCTCTCTTGTGGAGTTAAACCTGCAGTGTCCAGCGCACCCACAGTGGCATCTTGGGCTCTCGACTGATAAGGCAGTGAAAAGGGGGTCATGGAGAATTCCACAAAGCCAAGTGCACAGGTGTAGCAGGCCTGGCTTCGAGGGATGGGCATGGAAGACTTGCAGGAACAAGAAGCTACGAACGGAACAAAGGGCATCGCTACTAGTAGCAAAGGGGATCGCTACGAACGGAGCAAGAAGCTTGCATAGTGCCTTTCTGATAGATGTGGTCAAAGGTGTCAGATGCACTGCTGCGGAGTCGCTATGCCTAAACCGGCCTGGTGGCAATCCAGGCTTCGCATAGATTGGGAAGCTGGACATGTGGTAGACCTTACGAGCCAGGTCGATGTCCGAAGGGCAGAAACCCTCAGAACCAGCCCTGAGCAAGATGTGTTCATCATATCCATGGCTGCCTTTCACGTGTTTAGCCATCGTGTTTATCCAAGGCAGCTGGAAGAGCACATCGGCGAGATCTTCAATTGGTTGTGAAACGACCTGAATTGAAGTAGGAACAATGTTCGCTACTAGGGGCTCCTGGCCATACTACTAGGAACAAGGACGCATGAATTGAAGTCGACTCCGGCACAAGCTCTTGTAGGTCACATGAATTCAGGACGATCGACGTCGACTCCGACTCGACTCGAGGACTCGAGGGTCACCATGAAACGAGCACTTACCCCTGCTGTGATCAGAAGCAGTGGTATGTTTCCCCGGAGGGAAGGGGCAGGAATCCATCATCACGATGTGTTCGCGACTCAGGAACCAACGACCAGTGCCACTGTGGCCACAAGTCGCAGCCAGGAACAAGCTGCACGGGATCTTCGTTCCTGGCTCAGGCCCCGCAGTCGGATCCTCTAAGACGCGTGTGACTACACTTCCAAACCTGATGCGTCTTCGGGGATGTTGGCTGAATGGCATATCTCAAGGAGTCCCTTCTTGATCTATATAGTATCACTCAAATTGCTGGATGAAAGGTCGCATCAATATCGGAGTTTGCAGCTAGTTGTTCCTATCCATAAACCGGGGATGAACGGTGAATGGCACTAATGACATCACAAAAAGCAAACCCCTTTGGGGGTGAATCTAATGCAGTCCCCCTCAAAGAAGACCCTGTTCAAGGCAAAAAAACGATGACAGCTGACCCAATCCTGCCAAGTCTCCCTTGTTTGAGGACGTTGATTTTGGAGACCCAAAACGGGGGGGGATTTCCCGCCGGGCCTCCCCGAAGGCTGCCACAGGTAGGCCTTGGCACGCTCGTCATCTCTCGTCTATGTGGGTCACCTGTCGTCAATGATTCTCCAAGTGAACGTCTCGATCGAGTTCGCCGGACATCGTGAAGCTCAATAAATGCAAATAGCGGGGAAGCCCAAGGTTAGGAGATGTGAGAAATTGCCAGAAAAAGTCTCACCAGTCACCAGTCCCAAGCAAAGGCATGACCCGGCACTTTTTTGACGACTCACAAATACAACCTGAAAACACAGATACAAAGCTTTGATGAGCGGCATTTTACACTGGGTGTTATAGTACTCACAACCTCCATGCACGGGATGTCTTGCAGAGAGACCAGGTTTGGCAAAGCGAAGTCGGGAGTGGCAAAACCGTGGTCCAACAATGTGGGTTGGATGGAGATGTCGTTGAACTGAGCAAGCAAACTCAAGAAAGGAGGATGGATGCCATTGGTCCCCAATTCTTTTTCAAAGACTGACATACCCACGTAGCGTCTCTGCAAACCAAACAGGTTTGTATAGCACTCAGCGCCAGACAAAAGTAGAGCAGAGCACATACCCTCAGTTTCTGGGCTGGTGCTTCATGTGTTCCTCTGTTTCTTTCGAGCCAGAGAAAGCCGATTAAAATACCCAGTTTCCTCCCAGTTCCAATTTAAAGGCTCTAGCCCCACTTCAAAGGCACACTTCTTGAAGTCCCTCGACCTCGTCGGGGCCAAAACCAGCACCGAAACATGTACTTGGAGAAACCGCAAACAAAACATCTAGACTGCCACCAACGGCCCAAAATACATGCCAGAGGAACTCCATGAATCTGCTGGTAAGCCAAAAAACTCCAAATCACCACCTCCAGGCTAAACCAATCGATTTGGGTGCCCTGGCAGCAGCCAAACCTGTGCAGCGCTTTCGCACTCGTCGCAGCGAAATGAGGGGTTGGGAACGGTTGGGTCGATTTGCAAGAGCAAAGGACTAAGACTAAGGTGGACTGCTCAGATCAGTGGTCCGACAATGAGACCCTATGGCTCATACTCTTGGCCAAAGATGGGCAAAGTGACAGCAAAGCATCTTCCAAGCTAATAGCGATGGCCTCCAACCTAGTAGCAATGGCCTCCAACCTAGTGGCAATGGTTTCCAACCTACTGGCGATGGCCCAACCTACTAGTTACTCGTGATGGCCTCCAACAGGGATGGCCCCCAACCTAAGATCGATGGCCTACCTAAGCACCAAATCCACTGTGTGTTGGTCGTCCAAGCTGCTTCGGTCGACACGCCAGTTTTCGCCCACCCGTGTCCGGTTTGTCTTGGCCGTGGTCGCCTCAAATTGAGGAGCTTCGGCGGTCCACCTGAGAATGATCGGGAGAGCTAGTGAAGGACTGTCTTCGCAAGAAACGACGTTCGGGAAGAGTCCAACTAGCTCGGCGAGCCGAAAAACCACGTTGTTCAAAACAGATGTTCAAAGGACCCGGTATACCAAGAGAATGGGACGAGGACAGTGCATGTGAACAGGATGGCAGTTCAGCAGGCACTCCATGAAGATTCAGTATATTCGGTTGCTAGAGCTGGAGACCATTGTATTGCCATTGCTGAAAACCCAGCGTTGTTGGAATAGAGAAAATATGAGAAAATGCTCCAATCCTGCACCAACTGGTTGCAGCTCCCTCAAGTTTTGACAGCCGGTTTGTTCGTTTGTTCTTTCAGCCACACAACCACATCTGTTTGAGACACCGGGCTCCTGCAATTCCAAGCGACACCTCAAACAGGGTCTTGACACCCCATGAGTGGGGCTTTCGCTGATGGTCGAGGAGACTCTCGGGTTTCCTAAGATACTTCAATACTTCAAGTGGTAATTAAACCGTGGCTTCTTTGGTGTTCGACCCCCCATTGCCTCGAACATGGTCGGTGAGTGCATGGCTCAGAAGAATGCATGGCTCACAACTCGGCGAAGAGCTGGACATTCCTTCCTCTGGCCTGGTCGACTATAGCTAATAGCGCCCGATCGCTCCGTTCGTGCACGATGCCAGGAACCCCGTTCGGGTCGCGTCCTCTTGCTCCGTTCGTAGTAAGGCCAGTTTCGCCCCGTTCGGGTCGCGTCCGATCGAAACGTTGATGTGGTGGCCACTCCTCCCCCAGACCTAGTTGACGCAACTGTTGACGCTCTCGCAGTCTAGATTTGTAACAACACACACCGAAGACAAACTTCAGAAACACGCCATCTGAAGCAGGAACTCCTTTGATGTCGATGGCTTCGTCGTTTGCCTTTCCGACGTGTGGAGTCGACCAGCTCGTCCACCGACCAGGCTCGAGCAGAGCAGCTGGTCGGTGCGGTCGACCGAAGATCTATATAACACCAAGTCTCTTTCATCCCTACCAACGGGGATGGTCCAGTTTCTGTGTCTTTTGGGGACCTTCCTTCCCTTCCATCTTCCGACTCTCGATGCCAAGGAGCCAATTCGACCCGCTGGAGTGGGCCAGCAGCCGCCGTAGGAAGGGCTTGGCGATCTGAAGGTCCACATCTGAGGAGACATTGCCTCAGCTGCTGGTCCAAGCGCCAAAAAGATCTTTAGGTCACCCTTTCTTGGTCCTGAGGTCCGCTGAGTGCGCACTCCAATCACCCCTGAGGAGCAATATCAACCTCCACTCTCAAGATCTCTCAAGGATTGAGTCTCCTCTACAGGCTGCAGCTTGCCCTCATCTCGAAGCTGCGGGTTCTTCTTCAGGTTCATCCAGGGACCCCTACAGCTCTTGGGCACACAGAAGCCGAAGATGTAGGTCTCTGGTGGCGAGACATGGTGGAAGGAGAGCTCACCAAACCAGAAGCCTCAGCGAAACCGGCTCACCAGTCCAAAACTGCGTCCAAGAACGGCCAAGAACGGTGCAGCAGTGCAACGCGGATTCAGAGGAACCAAGGAACATCATTGGTTTCTATACCTACAAAGCTACCAGAAATGGTTTCTACATGCTTCTACACCTAGGGACCAGGCGGTGGCCCAGCGACCAGCAAAGCCTCCAGAGCGACATGTAGACGATTTGCTTTGCAACTTGAAAATCGACGGCCGAAGAATCTGTTGCCACAATCGCCGCGGCGAGGCAAATTTGGGCTGCGAGCATTCCGGAAACACACGCTGTTTCCACTTTGGGCTCACGCTACAGTACGGGCCCCATGCGTTTGAAGAACTTTGGCATGCCATATGCCACTTAGCAGGCGAACGTCTCCTTCAACTAATTAGGCTCCTCCTTGAGCCTCCCAGGGTCCCAAGACCTTTTTGCTTGCTGAGGATCAGAAGAGGAAAACCGCCAAATCTGTCAATCCACCCTCAAAGTGCTGAACGGCGTGGAACGCAGAACAAGGCGGTGTCGCCGGCGCCTGGGTCGCCCTCGATCCACTTCGCTGAGACTTGGCAAAGTGCTCACTTGGCTACTGAGCTCCTGGCAACACCATCTCCCGTCACTTACACCACCGCGGGAGGGATCGGGAGCGAGTAAAAGGAGGATAAAGATCTTCCAATGCAATTTGAGGCTGTCAATGGTGTTTTAAAGGGTCCAAACTCCAAACCTATGATTCAAGTGTCCTTCCCTGTCTTTTGAAGGGTCCAAAGTGGAAACGCTAGTGATGAAGCAAGGGGTTCAGAAAACACGCGCAGAAAGCGCCCACACCAAGTGAGATGTCCTCTACATCAAGTGAACACTGTCGGTCCATCAAGTGTTTGATGACGATGATGTTTGGCGTTCTTTTGTTTGTAAAGGCCGCGTGAAGCAACTGGACGACGCAACATGCTCCACATTGCTCCACGGAGATGTCACAAATCACGACTTGCATCGGGAGACACCTACGTGCTCCACCTCTAGCTTATAGAAAGTTCCTTCTTGTCCAGATTCCAGTACTGAGAATGTATGTTGTTCCACGTTGTATGTAAGGCAAGAGTCATAGAACGGTGCTAACCACTACATCAGTTCCAACGGGCAAACCTCAAGATCGGGCGTCCTGAAAGATGGGCTGAGACCAGAACCTGGCATCGGGATCGGTGCGTAGGCCGTTTTTAGCAGCTTTAGTTTCTTGGGCTGGCCCAAACAAGAGAACCCATGAGCCGCTGCTTGAACTTGGCATTGCTGATTGATGAAAAAATAGTTATTATCAAATAACAGCTCTAGGTTTGCAACTAGAGCTCTTGCGCTTTCTTTTCTTGTTCTTTTCCTGACGTTCCTTACTTTCATTATTTCACCCCATGTGCTCCGGCAGCTAATTCAATGATTAAGACGCTTCAAAGCGTCCAATAACGAAGTCTGCTGGTTTAGCAAAGTGGTGAATCAAGCAGGGCTCTCGCTTCACAGGCCTCAGTGTCTCAGAAAGGTGTTGGCTCCGAAACACTCCGTCGTTTGTCACTCCGTCGTTTGCGGTCAGAAATCGATGTCATTTTGCGGCAGAAATGGCTTGGAGCAAGAAAGTCTTATGAAAGGGCTCCAATGCGCCAAGAGAACCTCAATCCACTGGTAAGATCTACAGTAAAGGAGTTGGTGGATAAGACGGATAAGACTTCATGTGGGACAAAAACAGACAACCGTGTCTCTCCAAGCTTATAAGCTTGCAAGAAACATTGGTAAAAACTCACACCCGTGAAAAAACATCAACATCCTGAAAGTTTTGGCACGTTCATGAGAGTGAAAGTGTTGCTGAAATAGAAAGGAGGGGGTGACAGTCAAGTCGAGCATCTGGGAGTCCCAACTGGTTGGATCTCGGGCTCAGGATCCACGGCGATTTCTCCTCACGGATTCAAGCCGTCTAAGGGGCGACGCCAGGATGAGTTGTAAAGCATGGTCTGAGTGGTGTGTGTTTCGAACGTGGCCTGAAACTGTTTGAGGTTCAAATCAAAGAGTTTCTTGAACGAGATAGGTAGGACACGTCCCGAATTCCAAGTTCTCTGCTGAAATCACTCAGCAGGCATGCCCACAAATCTGCAAAAAGCCTCGTGACCCTCTGAGTCAACGGTCCTCCATTGTCCGTCTCAGGGGCCTCCATGCTCTGCAGCTGCTTGACGCTGCTCTGCACTGGAGGATTTCCCCTAAGGTGAACCAGACCGAGCAGCAGCAGCAGCAGCAGCGGCAAGTTCACATCCAACACCCAGACCTGGTTGGTTGAAGCACAGAAAGGAAACCTCTCCAAGGGTTCATCTCAAGCTTGGTAGAAGGTCGGAATCCTGTTCGTTCTTATTTGTGCATGTGTGAAGGCACCAATACTTGCCCTCTAAACACCCAACCTGTATATCCGGGCGCTCTCCAAGGACGATTCAGCAGTAAAGCCTGCTTCCAAGATCTGAATTTACGGAAGGTTGATTTGAGAGTTTTCTGCGTGCAACGATTAAACCTCCACTCGTCTCTTGACAGGGGGAACCCAAGTCATGCTCTCTACAAACATCTCTCGGGCTTGTCCATAGTTCTTCACCTTTTCAAGAGAGCATTTCACTTCTGACCAGCATCGCAAGACAGACCAGCCGTGCTTGGCAACCGCCCTTGGCGCAGCGTCCAGCTGCGCAGGGGGGCTGCTGAGCTTCAGGGTGGAAGCTCGTGAAACGGAAAAAGCCCGGCCCTGAGCCCCGTTATGGCCGGCCACACCGGAATCCCAAGAACCTCCCGCAGTCAGATAGATGGTTTGTGTCCGGTCGATCCTGCTCTTCAATGACCTCAGGATGAGCGTAGATGAGCTTCTCTCGTTTCAGGTGTCGCGAGAAGAGGTGCCCTTTGAGGGATTCACCTCGAACCGATTAGCTTGAGGTGCCCTTTGAGGGAATAGCTGGAATAGCTTTGGTATGTCTGGACTTGTCGCAACTCCGCCAACTTGCATGAACCCAGATTCTGCTGGAACATGACGAGCGTGCACCATAATGTAGTCTACCCGCAGAGTTACAGGCAGTTACAGGCACCTAATCCAATATGCGCCCAGGCAGCCTCCAGTTTAGGCCTTTATTCTGCAAGTTGTCCTCGAAATACCTTTAATTCTAGCACGCACACCCAAGAGAATGTACAACCAAGGACTGGCGTGCACGTCCATCCAATTTGATGAGACTGTCTTGACTATGCCAGCCCCTTCCAGTACTAAGCACCCTAGTCAATCCGCAGGTAGAGTGTCTGATCAGCACTTGCGAGTAGACCAGTGCACTTAGTCCTTTGGTAGAACCCTTTGACTCAAAAGATGGTTCCATCCCCCAACAGATCAACTCCCAATCTGCCAGCAGTCTCCAGTCTAACATCTGGGCACCCGTCTCTCTCCGCAAAAACAAGCACCCTCCCTCTGGGTACCCGTCCGCGTCCACCCAGAGCAGGGGCCCAAAAGGTGCCCGGTCACCATCGGCCAAACTCCACACCGAGAAGACCTGGCACCCGCCGTTTTGCCCGGTGCAGGTGCCGGCCGACAGCACCTGCACCGGTCAGTCCCCGTCTCGTCGCTCCGAGAACGAACGGGTGAACTGCCGTGACCGTGACGTTTTGTTCCGCTTGAGGACAAATCCTCCGTTTTTGGGAGATCTAGCAGATCATCATTGCCCTGAACGTATGTGGTTCCAACACCCAAGAACGCCCACAGCTTTTGGTCCCATGACTCGCAAACGAGCTCAAAGCCCCTTGTCATGCAGAAACAACGGCTAGTTCTTGAGGATGTTGAAATCTGCCGGTTAATTGGTTGGTGACTTCGACTTCCTTGCAGCACATGTAAAAAACGGAAAACACGCACTGGACCTAACCTCGACCAATGGGCCGCCCTTTCGTGTGCTTTTTTCGTTTTTCGACCGGCCTTTCCGCTCTCCGGCGCTGTCAGCTGCCACGAGAGTGGAACGGTACTCCCCACGGGCACCTGCAACGAGCAAACGGCCAATCTGGAAAACGAACAAACACACATGGAGGAGTCTTCAGGGGGGGTGTTGGTCTTCGACCTGCCAGAGAGTTGTTCTTCAAAAGGGGATAAACAAGGGCTATAGGTAACTAGTAAGCTAGTACATGCCGGGGCACTAGCTTCAGCGGCTCCAGTCGGAAGCTTCTCCGACTGGGCGTGAGAAGTGTCCGAACGAAGAACGCTTGCGTTCTACGACGGGCACCTCGGGCAACCGTAGCCCTGCAGGACCTCCCATAGGATCCCCGTCTCGCAAAGACAGCACCTGAGCAACACTGAGCAGGCCATGGCCATTCTGCAAAGCAGACACGCTCAAATATTAGAAGGCGTCTGTCAGTATTCTTGGGTGTTATAGGTGCATGTGGGCACAAGCTACTTCGATGGGTTTGAGACCAACTGTTTCCTCACGTCATGTCAAAGCACTCTCTCAGCCGGTGGAAGCCCTCTGAGCCGACCCGGCCGTGTTGCTCGGCCAGGGCTGTGCGCCGGTATTGCCTGGTTCGGCGCGAGAGCACCGGGGCGTGGAGAGCATGGAGAGCATGTGAACGCAAGGCAGCACAGCCGCAAGCACTCATAAGTCTAGTCTTTTCCACATACTGAGGAACCCTTGTGCCATCTTGTGCCTCAATGGCCAAGTCATGCCCGTGGATGCACGATGTCCATGCTCAAGAGAAATCACGCAGGCTTTCACGTGTTTTCTGGGGGCTCTCTGCATGACGAGAAAATCAGGTTCATGTGATCCCCGGTGGGAAGCCTGTGCAAGGGTGGCCGCAACGGTTTCTCAGGAGTAGGTGATCCAGAGAGCTTGTCGGATGCTGGCGAGGTCGATTGCTAGTCTTTTCTTGCTTGGTGCACGTGATCATAAAGGCTTGGTCGTTGCTTGGATGTGATCATAAAGGCTGCGGCAGCCAGTGATCAAGTGCAAAGGAAGGTATTGCCCTGCGCCCTTTTGGCTTAAAGGAAGGAAGATGGCTTCAAAGAAACGCAACTGTCTCCAATGCCTCTGAGCAAGCAGGCGAGCGACATCATCATCAAAGAAGCCAGGCCTCCTGCGCAGGCCAAAGTGTGGTTTCCAAGGGAGGCCTCCTGCGCAGGATCGTAATGCATCAGAAAGTCCTGCAGGATGTAGACGTTCATCATCGTTCATCTTTGTAAGCCCTGACGTCTCTGGGCCTCTGCAAGTCAGGTCGAGGCTAGACAAGCCAAGACAAGCCTTGTTCCGCGGTCTGGTTCTCCTCAACTTGTTCCGCGGGGCTGGACTTTCGTGCAGCTTTCTTGAATAGGTTGCCAACTTTAATTCTGGCAGCCTTGGTGGGGTGCCTGACACCTTCCACCTTGGCTGCGAGTATGATTGCTAACCAGATGGTATTACTTTCAAACAACAGCGCTACGGCGCTACGTCCAGGTGGAAAAAGGTGAGCAAGACGCCCCAATGGAGACTGTCCATCAAGACTTCGTGGGGGCATTTATCACCATGTCAATCTGCCACAAGTCTCGGCATGGGCTCCTTGACAGGCCATGTAGGCCGTATGTTGTTGACAAGCTGTATCCTCATCCAAGAGCTCCTCAAAAGCATGTGCATTCCCTTCTTCATCCATAGAATCGTCGTCGTGGGCGGTCATGTGCACCGACTATCGATTCCACCTGTTGTTGGCAGAGAAGAAACGCTTTCACACACCTCTTGCGTCTCCAATTGCATGGAAAAAACTCCGAGAAACCTCTCGCTTCCCTCGAGTGGAATCAAAACGAGCTCCTAGTAACGTCCTTGCTCCTAGTAGCGATGCCAGGAGCCACTAATAGCGAGTAGGAGCCCCTAGTAGCATCCTTGCTCCTAGTCGTGAACCTGCCAATGCTGGGGCAGAGTCAGCAACACGACTGACCAAATAGTTTCGCAACGATTCAAACCGGGAGAAATGAATCATTGAGGTCTCTTTCTCATCTCTTTCTCATCTGTTCTTTTGGGACGACACTGGATCACCGGATCCGAGTGCTTTCGGTCTCTTCCTTCTCTTCCTTGTCCTTCTCTCTCTATCTCTCTCTGTCTCTCTCTCTCTCTCTCTCTCTCGTTCTTTCCGTCCGGTCTCGGCCTATCATGATGTGAATCTCAAAGACTTCTCCCGCTCGGCGTCGTTGGAACCTCGGGGATTGGCGCCACGGGCGGCATGGGAACAGAACGGGAGGCCCTTGGAGATCCTTTGAGGGCGGGCTCCCAAGCAAAGAGGAGAACT